TGTGTTCGGCAGGGTCTTGGCGACCAAGAACTTGAGGGCGAAGCCAGCTCGGAGTCCGTTGATGGTAGCGTGCATTGAGACCATGGGGTCGAGGTCCCTTACCTCAAGCTCTTCTTTTTTGAAGCGATCGATGTAAGACCGCAAGCTTTCGCCCGGTTTTTGCTTGATGGACGTGAAAGAGACAACGCTCTTCTGGCACCATCTATTGCTGATGAAGCGAGCGAGGAACATGTTGGCAAACTGCTCCCACAAACTGATTGATCAAGGGGGGAGGTTGGAGAACCAATGGCGTGCTACCCCCTTAAAGGTGGCCTGGAAAGTTTGGCACGTCAAGGCGTCGAAATACCCGTAGAGTATCATGAGCGCTCTGAAACTTTCTAGGTGGTTGTCTGGGTTCGAGGAGTCGTCGTACATCTCCAAAGTAGGAGCCTTGAAGTGTGGGGGGAGGGACTTCGAAATGATTTCCAGGGTGAATGCGTCCATGCGGCCAGCAGAATTGCCATGACTAGCAGAGGTGTCAGCTTGACTCTCCTTGACTTGGTGGAATTCGTCTCTGATGGCCCCGAGCTCAGCTTGTAACTCGACAAGCCCTGGATCGGCAAGGGCATGGGCCCCAATTCTTTCTTCACAGACTCAGTGAGTATCAGCTCGGATTCCCGAGTACTCCGAGGCCAGGTCATGCGCTCCTCTACGGGCGCGATGATCGTTCAAAACGTCGCGCTGGTGCGTTCACACGACTCTCATCCGGTGCCAACCACAGAGCAGTTAGGCGTACTCGCAAGGACCTACCTATCACCTAACTTCGTATGGATCTCATCTAGACAAGGGATCCTGATCCCAGAATCCTAATCCAGCTCCTGCATTTACTTCCAGTGCCTTGAATTAAATTCTTGCACCTACCTTGCTTCATTAGCATCTACTCTTGGGGATCCAATGCATCCGAGGACTACCACTGAGACCTCGTCTGCACCCTCCCCCACCTTACACCTCATACTAACTTGAGAGTTGGAGCCTTCGCGTCAAGTCTCTACCTGAGGCCTCTGACATCTCTTGTTTTGCAGTACCTCGGATCTCCAAGAACCTCGTCACTATACTCAGAAAGGAGCATCTCGCCTCAACCCACAGTCCTCGGCCTCAGCTCACCCTTTGAATTCTCAAAGCCTTCGGCCTGCCTTCAGAATTTGGGAGCGAATTTACCTCGTTTCCCTTAACTAATCCGGGCGGAAACACTTATTAAATGGCTTTCAATCCTATCCTCGACATTCATGAGGTACTACAATTTGAAATGTTCTCGACATAGTTTTCAAATACAAGGAATCCAGCCAAAGGCAAAGATTAGTCAGGCTGCATCAATGACAATTTCTGCATTACATAGGCATCAAAGGTCGTGCTTGTCGCTGTTAAGTACTTCCCATTCTCCCTATTAAGTCTCCGTCAAGATAGCAACAAAACCGGCCTATGGTGGGGATCCTATCGAGAAGCCTCGCTTAGAGGTTGAGACGGGGTTTCTAGAGAAAGACTGACAAAGAAGAACATGAGATCAGGGTCATTGTTAGGGTTAAATACATTATGCGGTGGAAATCATTTTGAGATTTAATCGAAGATAAGTAAAAGGAACGGGATCTGCTCCTCACACTTGGGCACCTCACATGCACATCCACCGTGCATTGGGAACATCTACCGTGAAAAATAATTTACAAGTACAGGAGATGTTCCCAATGCATGGTAGGATGTGCGTGTGAGGCACCCTATGTGAGGAGCAGATCCGGTCTCTAAGTAAAAACCCTTGGATTTCTCTTCCATTCCTCTAAATGAGAAGGTGAAACCATTGTGTTTATTTTCTTTCTCCTCATCCATTACAATCAGTAGCAGTAACAATTGGGCTGATAGCATTTTCATGTTGAATTATCTATAGTCATCCAATGGTAGTTATGAGCAATGTTTCAATCCATCGTTGACCCGACCAATCGAATCATTCGAACCATCACCACCTGGCCAGGATTTTGGGTCTGGTTTAGTCAAGACCCGTCAAACGGTCAAAACCATTGATTTGGTCAAGAACCATTTGACTCAATTGGTCAACCGTTGACCTGTTCGACTAGGTGACCAGGTCGTGAGTTACACACTCAATGCATGCAAAACTTTTTGAGGCTATAACTTTGCATTTCGATATCCGATTGGGGTGATTTTTTTTTATTTTAGGTAACTTTTCAAGATCTATGCATCCCAAAACGTGTCGTTTGCTATTTTTTCAAAAAAAAACTTTTTTGGCCTCAAATTACAATTTTTAATATTTTTATAAATAAAAAATTAAAAATATATATATTAAATATAAAATAATACATATAACACATCTGGAACATATTTATATATTATTTATTGCTAAAATATATATTTGTACACACATATATATAGATGATGATGGTGTGGCATGGTCTGAATCGTCCAACCCAACTGGTCGAACCAATGACCCGCGACCTACGGCAAAAACCGGTTCAGCCTCTAAATCGGTTTTTAAAACATTGGTTCCTAGTGTTTGGGTGAAAACGATGGTGAGGATGGTAAAAATGCTTATCGTCAAAGAAGCATATTTTCAAGAACAAATCCAGCAAGGGTTCCATCGAGACAACTACCTAGTCTATAGATGCTAAGGTGAGCTATTTGATGCTTGCCATGCAAAACATATTTTCTGTCTGTTGATGCTAGTCAGACCTGGTTTGAATTTGATACGTTTGTTCAAGCTTCTTGTTTTAGATTCGACTTCCACTATTCACTGCCTCCTAATTTGTTTAGCAATTTAGTCTCAGAGAACCGAATCGTTTTGGTAGTTCAAGGACATTTTCGCAATTCAGGCAATCCTGAATTCGGGTCACAGGACATTTTCAAGGCAGAAGACGATGAATAATGTTTTTTTTTTCAAGTGTAGTTTTAACATTTTAAAAGTTTTAAGTAACATTGTTTCAGTCTTAAGGTAGAAGATCAACAGTGTTTTTTTAAGAATAATTTTAACATTTTAAAAGTTTTAAGTCGCACATGTTATTATGTGATACAGATAATTGACATGTTTTGAAAGTTCAGGTATTGAATTGACTAGAAATGGCAACGGGGCGAGTTTGGGGCAAGGCACCGCCTCCTCGTCCCCACCCTGTAGTCAAGATACTCTACCCCATCCTCGATGACAAGAAGGGTACCCATTCCCTGTCGACCCCGAATCTTCCCCTCTTCAAGACAATCACCTAAAAATTATCTATTTTGTGGATAATTTACAAATAGGATTATGGGAATTTAAGGGTATTTTAAGAATTGAATAATGATACTTTGAGGCAAGGTTCAAATAGGATTATTGGAAACGCAAGGTATATAGGTAAGATAATTTTAAGAGACGTATCAAGATACGCTTTGGAAACCTATAGATAGAGACAAAAAATCAAGATACACATGGACACACTAGAAAATCTAAAAAATAAAATCCTTAAAAATATGAATAATAATAAAAATGAGTTTAATGTGAGTATAATTAATTTATTTAAACATAAAAACCATTCTTTAATGATTTATATAAGGTATCGGGATATAATTAGTAAACATTGAAAAATAATATAACTAAAATGTGTGTATATATATTAATATTTATTAGTTAATATTTTTTTGAAATCATTTATTAGTTAATATTTAGTATATATAGATTTAGATAATATTTATTATGTATACAAGTTAATATATACCTTAATTTTTAATAAATAAATATAACTTGTATTTATCTTATTATTATATAAATATTAATAATCAAATTTATAGCATTTGATGGGAAACATCCACCAAGGCAAGAAATATTACTCTAAGTATAAAAAAACATGTCATTTTAATAAGTAATTAAGGTTGGCATAACGGTTAATTAATTATTATTATAAGCAAATGACTTAGGTTTGAAACTTATTACCTTTGGTTTGTGATTTTTACAAGTTATTTAACTTAAATAACATTTAATGACATTAATGATGTAATCAAAGGTAACTTAAATGAGCATTTAATTAAATTATATTAGCATTTAGTGGCGTTTCAAACTTTAAGGCTTAATTAAAATTGATAATAATGAGAGAGAGAAGAGATCAATTAAATTTAAATTTAAATTTAAAAAGAAAAGGAAATTAAATTCGACTGATACATAATGCGTAGGTCCGATACGAAAAAAAACACTCATTCGGGGAAAACCCATCCCCGCCCCATCCCCTTTTAGAGTCAGGGAAAACCCACCCCATTCGGGGCAGGGCGGGTTGGGGCCCCGATTTTAGGAGAAAAACTATCATCCCTAAAAGTGGCACTAGCCCAAAAGTACAAAGTACTGATCTGAAATTTTCCAAAAAAAAACACTGCAATAAAATCAATTAACACAAAATTATGGCTTGCCAAAAGTTTTAAACATTATACATATAAAATAAATTAATAATTTGTAACTAGTAACCCATTGTTGGTAATTCAATCACGATGGTTCTTTTGACCAAGTGAACATAATTTTGACGAATTTCCAAGTTCGGAGTCCCCGACTGAAATTGGCATCAAGTGACCGTTCGAATGGTTCAACCACCCGGTCAACGAAGGCTGTAATCATGAAGAGAGATAGAGAGAGATAGAGGCATAGAGCTCAGTCAGACTCAGAGATGATAACTATGGATTTGGAACCCAGCAGACCAGTCAAATATCGTTTACCAAAAATAGACTCCCAGACGTTTTTGAGCAACCGTCTCAAACCCCACCTTACCCAGATCCACAAACTTCTGAAGTCAATATCGCTAGGCCTGCAAGGCACATGGAGGGAAGGGCTGAAAATGACAAGTGTGTGTGTCAGTGTGTGATCTAACTAGTTTACCTGCGGGTGGAAGTGTGGAACACATGGACATGCTCAACTCATCAATAATCGAGATTCATAATCCAAAAGAAAATTCCAGTTCCTGCTAGGGTGATGATCAATCGGATATTTGGTTGCAATTGCAGAGAACCAATGACAATCGACAAGCCGAAGCACCATCATCTTCATTCAGTTGCAAGATTTACAATGAATGTCTTCTTGCAAGAGAAGCCAATCAGAGAGAGAGAGAGAGATTGCATACTACATAACATATCAAAGAAAAATAAGTACTAAAACAACATCAAGAGCCTACAGTTAGCATCGGCATCACCTTTCTTGGCATTTTTTATCACCCATTTCTTCATACATGATAGTATTCAAGTATATAATATAATATATATATATATATATCACTCGCAAGCAAGTTTAGTACCGAAGCTGGTGAGGCAGATGGCGAATGCCTGGAAAGCTGATAAAGGCTGCCTATAATCCATTGTGAACATGTCATCACCCACCTTCCCAAATTGAAGAAGTACAGTCTCACCATCCCCTTTCCCTCCCGGTTGACTAGGGTCCACTGCTGCCACCAACTGAAAGTTTTTCACAGAAGCAACTGTAACCCGACCATGGAAATTTAGGCACCAGCATTGCAAATGTTCATGCCACCTTGGAGCCTTGTTCCTCAGTGTCATGCACCCCGCATTGGCAGCGGCAGTTGTGCTCTGTGTCTCAGAGTTCTTCTGAAGCTCGTCGTTGGTAGTTCCTCTTGTGGATGGAGGCCTTAATGTGCAGAACATCCTTCTTGGCCCCCTTGATTTTAACAGGTTAAACTTGTAAGAGACCTGACCAATCTCGAAGTTACCTGCTGGAACCTGGGGACTGATCTGCTTGCTTGCAAATCGACGGCTTGCTCTACTATTTGAAGGCTTTGCACCATTGTATGGTGGTTGGCTGTCATAGATGATGAACTTGGTGCCAAGGAAATCGGATCTACAAAATAATATGAAAATGTCAGCAGTACAAATAGAGATTTCTTGGTGTCAAATGATGTGCTTTTGCCGGAAAGCCATCATTAGCTCAAGAAGGGTCATAATAAATATATATTTCACCAATGTAGTGAATAGAAAAGACAATCATAACCTAACCACTAATTCAAATTAGTAATCTGAGCTAATTATGTAGACAAGGATTTCAAACATGTGATGGAAAACAGAATTGAGCCTGTGGATGTCAAGATATATACAGTAAAGGTCATTTGCATCTAATACAAGAGACTACAGTAAAGCCTCTGGAAACAATGTTCTTTTTTGGGAAGACATTTGGGTGGGCAACCAACCTCTTAAAGACCTTTTTCCCTCTCTTTACTCTCTTTCCCTTTATAAGGAAGAGCCGCTTTCCAGTTTTATTTCCTCCTCAGCTTCTTCTGTGGCCCTAAACTAGGATTTTGGTTTCCATAGAGGGTTATGTGATGATGAAAGTACTTGTGTTTCAGAACTATTGTCTTCACTTGAGTCTATTTGTTTAGATCCCCTCAAACCTGACACAAGAATTTGGACCCCTAACCCGAAAGGTTTTTTTACTTGCTCCTCTTTCTTCAAGTCCCTTTGCTCCACTTATGCACCCCAGAACTTCCCAATTAAAGAATTCTAGACTAGACCCATTCCCCCAAAGATTGTTGTTTTTTGTTGGGAAGTTTATTATGGTAAGATTAATACCTTTGAAAACCTACAAAAGATGAGATGAAATTGGTGCCTATCCCCTAATTGGTGTGTTATTTGTAAATCTCAGAATGAGGACTGTCACCACTTACTGATCTCTTGCTCCTTTACTACAGCTTTGTGAAATTGGAGTCTTATGTTGTTTGAGTGTAGGTGGAACTTGCCATCTGATATTAACTTGCTGTTTAGTCTGTCTATCTTTGAATGACACACAAAGAGAGGGAGAATTATGTGGAAGTGCATAAGAGCAGCTTTGTTGTAGACAGTTTGGGAAGAAAGGAACACCAGAATCTTTTGTGAAAAAGAAAGGAGCTGCTGCCTATGTAACTATCTGAGTGTTTGATTGCTGTAAACATCTCCTCATGTACCTCTCTTTTTTCGAATAAAGGTTTTCCGAATAAAGTTAACCTTTTTCCAAAAAAAAAAAGAAAGGAGCTGCTCGGAAGTTAAAGAATGTATTCTGACAAGGGCAATTCAATGGCTGAAAACTCTAAAGCTCATTGATGTATTCGAAGAGTGCATAACCGCATGGATAAGCTCACACTAACCCRTCAATTTGGGATCCAATTCGGGATTTTCCTTGGGAGGTATCGGKAAGGAATTGGAATGTAATAATATCGATTCATACAGAAGAAAAGGTTCTCTATTGATTCAAACGCTGTACCTATGGGATAGGGATAGAGGAAGAGGAAAAA